GTTTGTTCTTTAGTTCCTTCAGCTTAAGAAATGCCAAGCGAGTTTGGCCCTTTTGATTTTCTAACTCCAGCTCTTTGCACATTTCATTATAATACTTTACTTTCATTTCATTATAATACTTTGTCTTCCTGAGATCTCCTTTGAAATCTTCTGTTCAGCTCCTTAACTTTCTGCTTTCTTCCCTTTGCTTTGGTTTTTTTGTGTGCAATACTTAGAGTCTCTTCTGACATCCGTCTCAATCTTTTCTTCCTCCTCTTTGTAATGACCTTGTGTGTTCTTCATGGATGATATTCTTGATATCCTCACACAGCTCATGTGGTCTTTGTTCATTAGTGTTCAAGGCCTCAAATCTACTCCTGAAATGGTTTTTAAACTCAGGTGAATAGACTCAAGGTCAAATATTGGTTCCTGTGGATTTGGTTTATCCTTCTTTAGCTTTAGTACGTGTATATGAGTAGTTGATGGTCTGTTCCACAGTCAGCACCTGGCCTCATTTTCACTGCTGATATTGAGCTTCTCCAGTGATTCAAGTTAAAGAGTTATATAAATAAAATTTTAACTCTCCTTCTAATAGTAACCAGTGCTAACAGCCTAGCGTTTATCTTTCCACACATTTGTCTATTTACATATAAATACAGATAATTCACCTGTAATGGTAAGTGTGTGTGTGTAAGAAATTTTAAAATCCTTTTGTTGGAATGAGACTGTTTTTAATAACTCTGTAATATCCCATAGTGGAACTGATTGATTGCTATTCATATTGTTTTGAAAGTTAGAAAAATAATACATGTGGGGTGGGCAGGGAGAAAAGTGCAGCAATGAATGAATGGAAATCCAACACCTCTGTAAATGTCTATTAAAATTAATAAAAGAAAAAATAATACATGTACACTTACAGTAAGGGCAGTTGTAAAAAGTTATAATAAATAATATGTAACTCTCTTCTTCCCAAGGTAACCAATGCTAACTTCCTAGGATATATCTTTAGACATACTTATCTGCTTTCTGGCCTAGTGGCAAGAAGCTGTGCTGCAATCCCAAAGGCACATGGTTCAAATCCACCAGCTACTCCATGGGAGGAGGATGGGTACTCACCTCCTATGGGATTAACTGTCTCTGAAAACCCTCTGGAGGGTCAGCTATGAGTCTGTTCCAACTCATCAGTACAAAACAACAAAAATAATATATATAAACAAAAGTATTTATCTATAATAATGTGTATATAAAAAATACTTAAATCCTATTGTCAAGAATGTCTCTTTGTGTTTTGAGTATGCAAAGGCATTCTACTATGTGGATAATCAAACTAATGCTAACTAAGGGAATTCCAGAACACTTAATTAATGCTTGTACAAAATCTATACCTAAACCAAGAAGCTGTTGTTGGAACAGAGAAAGGGAACACTTTAAAATTGGGAAATCAGGGCTATATCCTCTCTCCACACCTATTCGATCTGTATGCCAAGCAAATAATTCAAGAAACTGCCCTTTATGAATAAGAGCATGGCATCATATTTGGAGTCAGGCACATCAACAGCCTGCATTATGCAGATGACACAGTTGTACTTGCTGAAAGTGAGAAGGACATAAAGCATTTGCTGTGGATCAAAAATTACAGCCTTCAATGTGGATTACATCTCAACATCAAGAAAATAAAAATTCTCATCACTGGACCAGTAGACAACATCATGATAGATGGAGAAAAGATTGAAATTGTCAACAATTCTGATACCAGCATTCAGAAGATGAGGAGACTTCTCTCCAAAGTCCTGAAGAGCAGTGATGTCACTTTAAAGACAAAGGTGCACCTGATTCAAGCCATAGTCTTTTCAGTGATCTGTGCTTTTGAAAGCTGGACAGTAAGGGAGCACCGGTGGCCTACTGGCAAGGAGCTGCACTGCAATCCCAGAGGCATGTGGTTCTAATCCACCAGATGCTTTGCTGGGAAAGGAGGGACAACCTCCTCCTGTACCAGTCAGATCCAATTTGAAGGTACACACACACAAAATAATAAAATAAAAATTAAAAAAAAAAAACCTAGCACAGTTGAAAGCTGGACAGTGAATAAAGATGACAGAAGAAGAACTAATGCATTTGAGTTGTGCTGTTGGAGAAAAGTTCTAAATAACCCATGGACTGCCAGAAGAACAAATAGATGTGTATTGGAGAAAGAGCAGCCAGAGTGCTTCTGGGAGGCAAAAATGGTGAAGCTTTGTCTCACGTATTTTGGACATGTTGTTAGAAGAAACTGTTTCTTGGAAAGGGACATCATGCTTAAAAAGGTGAAGGGGTCAGCAAAGGAGAGGAAGACCTTCAACTGCGGCAGTGGACTCAAAATATGTCAAAGATGAAAAAGGTGGTACAGAATAGGACACAGTTCAGATCTCTTGTTCATAGGTTCACTATGACTCATACTGAATTCAACAGAAATTAACATCAATGAATTTCAAAATAAAAAATGTTCTTTATAACTAATGAGCTGTGCCTCAATTTATTTTTAATCATTTCTTCATTGATAGGTACTCACATTGCTACTGTGCTCCAGCTAACCACTACTAATCAATTGGAGTTGGACTGTGAGGTAAAATCTGTTTGTCATCTCATCCAATTTTCTCATCTCATGTCTTCTAAAGAGAAAAAGCTGCACTGCAATCCCATGTGGTTTGAATCCACCAGATGCTCCACTGGAGGAAGAGCAATCTCCTCCTGTGCCAGTCTGATTTGACGGTACACAACAAGGGGGGAAAAATAAAGAGAAAGCAGACTAGTGCAGAGGCTGAATCATGGCTTAGGCAGCACTATAATTTATTTTTCTTGATATTCCTTTATTCCATATTGCCCCTTGGGCTGTCTACTCTGTTTCTCACCTGTGGAGTAAAAGAATAATCCCTGTTTTGTATATACTACCCCTTTAGTTAATAAAAATCAGCTATACCATCCCTTCTGAATCTTCTCTTACTAGGGGAAATTTCTTCAATATCTTCAAACTTTTCTCTTAAGACAAGTTTTCTAAATCCCTTCATCATCCTATGGTTATCCTTGTATCAGCTTTTCCCCTAGACTATCAAAATCCCAATTGTGGCTTCCATGCTTGCCTTCTCTTTATTTTTCATTAAATACATACTGAGTTTTCTGTATAAGAGGCACTTATTTACATGACTAAGACCCTACAGCTTGCATTGTGTTGAGATATTATTATATCAAATATTATTTGAGGATAACAAGTCATATAAAAGAAATGAAATGAGATTAATAGAGTCTAGGTCAGGGAAGACCATCTAAGAAGGTGACAGTTAGCTGAGATTTGAGCAACAAGAGCTAATCATAGATGGGTCTAGGGGAAGATGATTCTAGGGAATAAGAAGAAACTTAGTACAAAATGAAGAGGCCACAAGAGTCCTTCAGGGCCCTGGAGGCTAATGAGATATTTGGATTTAGTGCTATTGGGAACCCAGTGGAAGATTTTAAGCCAAGAAGCAACATCCAATTTTTCTTTTAAAAGGAATGCTGTGAAGATCTTAACTTTCATAGCTCTCTTGGATCCTGCGTGATTCACACCTGAACCAGGCTGCTCTCTACAGGACCCCACAGGGGATCCACAAGGTCGATAGCTGCCATTGTCAGGTGCACCCAACCCTCTGAGCAGGGTCATGTAAGTTCAAGGAGACAAGTAGCGTTCTAAAACCTGGTCATTTGTATGGAGCTCTCAACCCAGGTTCTGAGCTGTAGGGAACCTCAGCCCCATTGACAGCCAAAGGGAGATGAAACAAATGACACTGGTCACAAGAAAAGCAGATGGGAGATGTGAGTAGAGACCTGGAGCTTAAGATACTTGGAAATAGAGTTCAGAGTAGTGTCTAGAAACCAGTGAACTGAAGAGTAGGCTGTGCTTTGCCAAAATGAAACAGCTCCTGTGTAGGTCATTTAGATACTTTCTTTCTTGGGAGATTTTTACTTTTGATTTGTCCCTTTCCTGTCAGGTTAGGTTCCTCGTGGCTCCCAAGAGACAGGTTGGCATCTCTAGAAGCCAAAGGGACTTCCTAGTTCATAGGACTTGGTTCTAGAACCCTCCACAGAAATTAAGAAACCTGAGATGAGAGAGAGTCATCTCAGAGTAGCGAGGTAGGATCTTATAGAGCAAAGCTATATACCTTTTACAGAGTGGGAAAACTGGATTGGAAAGGTTGGGATCACCTCAGTCTGTTTAAGATCCTTTGACCATACAGGGACCCAGTTGTTCCTGATCAGATAGATAGTTATCAGCCTTACCTAGGATCTCAACAGAGGTCACCACTCACCTCCATCTTAGCATGTGGGATCTTGGCTTAAAGAACTGTAAGTAGCCTTGTAGTGGTTATGAGCAGTCACTCTGTCCAGCTCAGAGGAGTTGGCTAGAGACAAGGTCAGGGATGTACTTGGGTCAAGTATCTCTTTATTAGTAAGCTTGGAGCCAGGTTTTTATTAATGCTTGCCACCATCTGCCACCCCCCAAAAGTGTACAGCCTCTTCTACTTCCTATTTGTAAATAATCACACCAGCTTATACTGCTTTAATTTCCCTTGGCCCTGTGATAGGCAGGACTAAGAAGAGTATCTTCTAGAGGATAATGTCTGGGATAGGTTTCTGAATCCAAGGCCATTTCTTTTGTTTTAGAGATTGGAAGGAAAGTTGGTTTATCTAGTGTTGGCTTCATTTTTCTTCCAGGACCACTGCACAACAGATTCCCAGAAAGGACAACATGAAGCCTCCTTGCTCTCTATGCCCACTCTACCTGACCCACTTGTTTCCTTTTCTAGGAGCTTGGAGAGGCGTGGCTGGACCAAGACATTTCTCAATGTGATCAGGCTTACTCCCCACACCTCCTGTTGCCACCACGCCAGGGAACATTCTCAAGCCCTGGCCCTCAGAGGAGTGGTGACAGGAGCCCAGAACCGAGACCATGTGACGGCGCTGGCCTTTGCCACCGCCGTCCCCCCCACCCTGGCCCCAGGCCTGGCACCATGATGTTCCGAGACCAAGTGGGCATCCTCGCTGGCTGGTTCAAGGGCTGGAATGAGTGTGAGCAGACGGTAGCCCTGCTGTCCCTTCTGAAGCGGGTCACCCGCACCCAGGCCCGCTTCCTGCAGCTCTGCCTGGAGCATTCACTGGCAGACTGCAATGACATCCACCTGTTGGAGTCAGAGGCCAACAGTGCTGGTGAGTATTTGTGCCCAGAGATGGGAGCACAGCTGAAAGGAGATGTGAAACGGGAACAGATGTCAGGCTGAGGAAGCTATTCCAATTGTGGTGCTAATATGTGGTTGTAGGCTTAGGGGTAGGAAGCAGGAGTGGCATACACTTCCTAAATAACAGACCTCCAGAAACTCTATGAACTTTGATACAATATCGATAGTTGTAGAGGGGCTTCAGGCCTTTTGTTCATAGGATCGTTGTGAGTCATGCTCAGCTCGAAGGCAATCAACAACAGCAACAGGCTTAGCAGTAGGAGTTGCTGTCACTGACCTTGTAAGTCATTATCATGCTTCTCCTGGGTGTATGTTGCCAGGAGACTGAGATCAGCTACTGCCCACACTCCTAGAATAGGGAGAACCATTCTGTGCTCTAGCACAAGGGTTGTGAGTTTTCTGTTTGTGGTGTGGCTCTGCCCTGAGAGTGGGATCTCTTTTGAGGCAGTTCAGTGTCTTAAGCATTTTGCTACCCATTCTGAGAAACCACTTGGTTAACCACTGGTTGCCAGTGTATCAGAGTCGCCAGTGGGGCTAGCTTCTATATATTTGTACATTTTTTGTTTCTACCTTAAAGAAGATATTTGTATAGGAAAATTGAAATCCTACAAAAAGTAAAATGTGAGGTATCCCTTCTAGACTTCCATCTTTCTAGTTTTTGCTTTGTGAGCTGTTCTGTGGCTATGTACGTGTACTGCATATCTTCCTTCAGCTTTTTAATTGTTTTAGCATATGTGGCAGAATGCCATGCATATTAATCAGTTTGCACTTTCCACTTAACTACATGATTTGAGGATCATTCCATATTTCCCATTGGAACTGACTCATATCTGACCCTCTATTAGGTTTCTGAGGCTGTAAATTGCACAGAAGGATATAGTCCATATTCCTCCCTTAGAGCTGATGGTGGATTAAACCACCTGAGAGACATTACCATTGGGTTAACAATGCAATTCTTTATGAACTAGCACACCAGACCTCCATATTCCATGATTAGTACATACATATAATGTTTTACTACTGTTAGTGACAACATAAGAATAATAGGTAACATTTGTTGAGATTTTGCTATCTGCCAACCAATGTTTTACTTTTATTACTCATTTTACGCTCACAGGAACTCTGTGAGAAAATCATATTATTGTTTTATAGCTGAGGAAATCTGAGGGTCCTGATAGTTTAATAGGTCATCCAGCTGGTCAGAGTTTGTTGTTAGAGCTCTTGCTCTTGTCCAGTAGACTGTAGTATGTGTTAGGAAATCTGTGAAACTGCTTATTTGAAGGGTTAAAATATGTTCTCTCACTACATAACCCCCCCAAAGAGATGGTTGAATTTAAGAGTAGGACCTAAGGCCCGTCCTAGATGGAGCTATTGGGAATAAGATCTAGGCAAGGTTGAGAACTGTTGTGGAATGAATGAAATGAGGGTGTAAATCAAGGTAAGAGCCCTGGTGATACAGTGGTTAAGTGCTTGACTATTAACCAAAATTACCAGCAGTTTGAAGACACCAACTGGAGAAAAATGCTTCAGTCTGCTTTCCTAAAGATTATAGCCTTGGGACCCCTGGGGGGCAATTCTGTAGGGTCACTGTGAGTTAGAATCAACTCAACAGCAATAGGTATACTGAAGGTGTCAAGACATTTATTCACACCCCATGCCAGGTGATGATACTATAACAAGCTTCTAAGAGAGGCTCCTAACCTACTCTTATAGTCTGCTTCTCCACTTCCTTCTTGCCTTGCCCACCCCCCCCAAAAAAGGTGCACGCTTACCCTGATACCAAGTCTTAAATTCAGTTGATCCACCAGTCCCCAGTTAAGAGTTACCTGTGTTACAGGATCATTCCTTGTACCCCAAATGAATCCCATTTTTAGCTTTCCATAGCACTTCAAGCCACAAAGACAAACCATGAGACAAAATCCCCTTTTTCTAGATTTTTTTCATCTCCCACTGCTCCTTTTCCACATTACCCAGGGACACCTTAATTCTCAGTTTGGGTCATAATAGCTACCTGCCTTTGTCCTCTTCATAAAGTCAGGAAGCACAAGGATTGATCTAGGTGAGTAGTTTAAACCTTGACTTTGAATTTGAGTCATCCAGGAAATACCTCAAAAAAAATCTTGCATCCTAGGCCCTATCCTCAGACAGTTTAGTTTTCTTTTTCTAGAGTTCCCCAGTTGACTCTTAACGTGCACCCAGAGTGTAGAAACGCTTGTATTCATGATGCTGGTTCTGGGTAGATCCCGGGAGATAGTCAAAGTGCCATATGTGCCTACTAGGAGTAAGAGTTGGAGCTCTGCCATTCCTCACAAGTAACTGGGAAGCTATAGAGAAGTCCCCTAACACAGGTCCTGGTTTGTAAAGACACAATCTGAGGCAACACTCAGGAGCAGAAAGTAAAAAAAAGAGGACCCAGGATTCCCCTTGTCATCATCCCTAACCCTCCTTCCAGTATTGTCTTCCCTTTCTGTTGGGAGCTCTAGAAGTAGTTCTAACCCTCTCTGCCTGGTGCTGATTTATACAACAAATTTATTCCAGTGGACAGGGAGGCAACCAGAGCCAAAGACATTGAATCCCCTTGTCTTCTGATTTTCTGGGCCACATTCCTTGCATTTCTTTCCTCCTCCTGTCCTGAGTCAAAATCCCCATACTCAGCAAGTTAAAGCTCCTCACTAGTTTGGCTTACTGAATTTGGATCGGGAAACTGAGGTCAGAAGAGAGTCATGGCCAAGTGAGTCACCAGTGCTCAGCCCTAGTGCCTCCACCCTCTCCTTTTAGGCTCTACTGACACAGTTCATCAAACAAAAATGTGAGCCCTCAATACTCCTCCATACCTGTGAGGGTTGGGATGAAGCAGAGAGGCCTGTTTGCAACCAAACCCTCTGACTGCTGCCTCAGAATGCCACAACTGTTAAAACAGCCCAGCACGTAAAAATGGGTTTGCTCTTATGACAGTCTCAAAGATATATTTGGCCTTTGTGATTTGCCAGGACCCAGTCATGACCTCTTTAGCTCTGATCACCTGGCCAGCTCTACTGCTATTGCAACCATGGCCACTAAGGGTGCTAAGATAGTCTTCTCCTTTCTCTCCATCCTAGCAGAGTCCAGATTTGCAACTTTGAGAAACAGCCATTGGTCTCACAACATTCTCCGGTCCCCTCTCCCATCCACCCACCTCCAGAATTTATCATTTCTTCTTGTGCCACCAGTTCAGAGAAGCCAGAGACATGTCGTTTTTGGGGAAATAACTGTGTGACATTCCCCACCCCTATGTTGTTGTTGTTAGGTGCCGTCGAGTCGTTTGCGACTCATAGCGACCCTATGCACAACAGCCCTAAACCCTGCTCTATCCTGCGCCAACCGCACTGCCTCTGACACACCCATCCCGATTACCCCAGTCACCGAATCAATCCATCTCATAGAGGGTCTTCCCCTCCTGCGCCGTCCCTCCACCCTCCCAAGCATGATGTCCCTCTCCAAGAACCCATACCTCCTGGCAACATGCCCAAAGTATGTCAGACGAAGCCCCAGAATCCTTGCCTCCAAGGAGTAGTTTGGTTTAATCCTCTCCAAGATGAATCTGTTTGTTTTCCTTGCAGTCCGTGGTACATTCAGTACTCTTCTCCAGCACCACAGCTCAAAGGCATCAACTCTCCTTCTGTCCTCCCTAGTCATTGTCCAACTCTCTGATGCATAACAAGCAATTGCAAAGACCATGGCCTGTATCAGGCACACCTTAGTCTCCGGAGACACACTGTTGCTCTTGAGTACTTTAGAGAGGTCCCTAACAGCAGACTTTCCCATCGCGATATGCTTTTTGATTTCCTGACTGCTCTTAAAGGGGTGGCCACCATGTGCTATTCTGCATAAACTACTCCCCTCAGTCCAAAACAGCTTGGGCTCTAGATCTTTGACCATGAGAGAAGAAATATTTACACTGTAATTATCACTTAACCACATGTCAGGTGCTTTGTATAAATGTCTCATTTAGTCTTTGCAACAACCTATGAAGTAGATATTGTCTCCACTGTATAGAAGAGAGGAAGAAATGCAGAGATTAAAGACTGACCCACAAAAAAAAATAATAAAATAAAAAAAAAGATTGACCCACAATTACACTGACCTCGGTCATAGTGGCAGAGCAGGATTTTGAATCCAGATAAATTTGACTGCTAAACTTGTTCTGCTACTTAGTATGTTTTGCTTGGACCTGATAGTGGGTGTCCTAGAAGTGAGGAATTCTAGAGAGAGCACATTATACGCACATAGGCACCACTACCTTTCAAGGACCATCTGAGTACAATTATGCAGATATTCATTGGGCCCTGCTGTGCCTCAACTCGGAGCCAGACTTTTTTGGTCTAGGCAGGAAACGAGTTCCATCCCCACCTGACATCTGCAGCCCCAGCTGGGCTCACCCCAAGGGGCCTGAGGGTGCACAAATTCCTTGGAACAGTTCCAGTGCTCACTGATACTTCTCAGTCTATGAGACCCGCCCTCACAGCTACCACCACTGCACACAGGAACGTGCATTTCCCCAAGGGGCAGTAGTAGTGTTCACAACCACTCTTCCTTTCTCTGCCCTAGAACAAGAGCCTTTATTGAGACCAGTCCCTTAGGGCTCTTCTGTCACATCCCCTTGCAGTACCAGAGGAGAAACTGTATCCCAAAGTTGAGGGGTCCTAGAAGTACCTTGAGGTGGGGGAGGGACTAGACAAGGCATCTCTCTATTTCAGATGCCTCTGGCTACTCTGTGGTGGTGGTGGTGGTGGCGGTGGCAGTGGCGGTGTTATGTGCCATCGAGTCGCTTGCAACTCATAGCCACCCTATGCACAACAGCCCTAAACTCTGTTCTGTCCTGTGCCAATCGCACTGTCTCTGACACTCCCATCCCGATTATCCCAGTCACTGAATCAATCCACCTTCATA